CGGCGATCATTGCGACACGTCAGGCGATCAGAACGAGTAGTCCGAGTCAGCTCGCTTAACGGCTCGTTTGATGGCTCGCTTAGCAGCTTGTTTGATGGCTCGGGCGGTTCACTTAGCGGCTCGCTCGTGGCTCGCTATTACGAAAGCTGTTGTATCTGGCTCTAATCTCCCCTTGGTGCATGTTTGTACTCGGGTCGGAGAAAAAACAGACGAGCAGTATCAAGTCTGAACGCGAGCTTGCCTTATGCAAACATGTCTGAGTGCACATGTTCACATCTCGTAGCTTGCATGTCTTCTTAGTATGTATGTGCTGGTTGTTTGTAAGGCTCTTGATAATTAGCTTTCTTGCTTGGCATCTTCTTGCATGGTACTGGTCGGATCCGACTCCACCCGATGCGGACGGGGCAGCAGATCCGTAGCCGATCGTCCTTGATGTAGCGCCTCCGGCTTGTGGAACGCCTCGAGAGCATCAACCGTGTAGGAGCGGGAGTTGTGGGTGAACATTATGTCCTCGTCCTTATCTCTGCTTCCGATCTTCGTGGGCTACTCCGCACGCGTAGGAGTCAAGGCCGTCGTCGGACCTCTACTGGACCGAGCTTGTTCGAGTTGCTCTTCGGCATTGAATTCGATGCTCTTACGAACGAGCCAGAGGCTTGCCGACGAGATCCATGCCACCAATGCGAGACGACGCAGAACGACGATGAGCGCAGTTGGATTCCTGCCAAAATAATCTTGCGCATATGTAGACATCTGAACACATACTATATCATAGGATATTACAATGAAGATTAAATGATCAACTTAGCTTGTTCGGCATTTCGTTGTGGTAGTCGAGCGTGGCTGATGCTCCAGGAGTATGCGCGTGCATGCTCCATGATGCACACACGTAGATGCGAGTTTGGCTTGCGTGTTGATGTACGCTCATGGTCCCACGAACTTCATATCTTTAATAAATCATCTTGCATGGTAGGTGCATGCATGCTTTCAATCTTGATTAGCTTGGTACTGCGTGGTGTCGTTGGCGATGACATCTGTGCCTCTCGGCCAGTCGGCGATCAGCTCAGCGGGCATGAGATGAAGCACACCAGATTGGTCGAGACGCTTGCCGATTCGATCTGCCAGCAGGACAGCGCGTGCGGGAAGCACGATGAGTTCCCGCTGTAGGTCAAAATCGTTGTTGTTGCCAAAGGATGTTGTCGGCGCCGCCAGCAGCCGAGTTGCCACGGATGGCGTTGATCTTGAGATCCCAATTGGTTCACCATGGGATCAGCATACACACCCCCTACCTGGCGTGCCACTATCGATGAAATCTGGTCGGCAGTCTACCGAGGGATATACCCACGGTAGTATATGAATCGGTGGAGGTGCGCGTAATAAGAGCCGGATGAAGACAAAAGCGCAGAGACAAGTGTTAGGTATCGATATTAGGGATACCCAAAGCAAGGAGGTTATCGCCCACGCTGACTTCCCTGGATGGAGCAAGACGTATTAAAAGGTCCCGTCCGACCCCAAGGTCGCGGGCTCCGTCTCGCCCGACCTCAAGGCTGCAGGCTCTGTCTCGCCCGACCTCAAGGCTACAGGCTCCGTCTCGCTCGACCCCAAGGCCGCGGGCTCCGTCTCGCTCTGACCCAAAGGTCGCGAGGTCCTCGTTTAAGGCCACGGGCTCCGTCTCACCCAACCCCAAGGCCGTGGGGGTCTCGCCCAAGGCCGTGGGCTCCATCTCGCCCGACCTCAAGGCCACGGGCTCCATCTCACCAAACCCCAAAGCCGCGGGCTCCGTCTCGCATTACCCCAAGGCCACGGGCTCCGTCTCGCCCGACCCCAAGGCCACGGTTTCCATCTCATCTGACGGGGACCCATACCACCGCCAACCACTCCAGGTCCAGGCGTATGGGCCTGGGTCAAAACTCTGACACCGGGGAAGAGACTGGCACGCCTCGATGTAACCTGTGGCCATACCTGAGGATTCACATTAGTGTTCAAAAAGGCGACGCCTTAGGTGCGCCTAGGCGCGACTAGTCGCTAGTCGATGGGTTCCTCTGGCCTATGGGGGTAGGCGGACATCCAGCGCAAGGAGGTAGGTCGCCGGTGGGGAGGTCGCGCAAGGGAGGTCGCCGGTGGGGAGGAGGAGCGGAGAGCGGCGATGCGCGCGGCGCGCGCGTGTGGGCGTGTGTGTGGGCGGCAGAGGCGTGGGGGTCCCACTGGCTAGGGGGTGGCAGACCCTTAGGCGGCGCGCCTGCTCGTCGGCGGCGTCGGTGGGGAGGAGGAGCTTGGCGGAGGTCGCCGAGAGGAGGAGGAGGAGGCTGCAGGCGGGGCGGGCACGCACTAGAGGAGAGAGAGATGCTGAGGAGAGGAGGAATCGAGGCGGGCGGTGATCTGGGCTACCGAACAGAGGAGAAGCGGCGAGCGAGAGGATTATGCGGGAGACCGAGCAGAAGGATAAGGTTGGAGACACAGAGTGGGAGATGGGCTGGACTGTTGCCATTTGGGCCTTTCTATCTCTCTAAGCCAGCCTTTCAATCTATCTAAACCCACTATTTCAGCTGTTTATTTTTTCTTTTAGAAGATAATATATGTATATTAGTATATATACAAAACGCCTAGAAAAACACCTTAAAACGCCTAGGCTCGCTTAAGCTCGCCTAGGCTCTAGGCTATGGGTCATCGCCTAGAAGTCGCCTAGCGCCTAGCTGAACTTTAATTCACATCAAGAATAATGTCGGGCGTGCCGGTGCTGTTCTGCTTAACCCTCGTACGAACGCTGACAGGCGTGTCAGTTCATCACGACATCCGCCGGGATGGAATGAAACGCCATGACCGGCAGATGACGCCTGTGCATGGCGCCAGTGACGAACAGGGCCACGATGTGGAGCCATCCCTATTGACATCTACAGGATCGGTGGGACCCGTATGAAGGAGAAGAAGGATCCGACGATCCTAGAAACCTTCTCTCTCTCGTTCTTCTCCTTTTCCTCCACTGTAACCCGCGCTTTTCCTTCGCCTATAAAAGGGAAAACAGGGCACCCCTACCGGGGGACCGAACAACGAATGAATCAAAACACAAGAGCACGACACGAGCACACAGCTGAGCGGCAATCGAGCTCTCAGCACTCATTCACTCCTTCCACCAGAGACATGGGATCCTTTCTCTTGCCTGTTTGTAACCCCTAATGCAAACCAAGTGCCGGTAACAAGAGTAGCAGCGACCTAGACGTAGGGACATTCCGTCCGAACCAGTATAAACCCTTGTGTCCTCCGAGCACACCATCCGAGCCAGACGCGCAAATACAAATTTACTCCTCGGTGGTCCAAAAACACCGACAACAAGTGATTTAGACAGGTTCAGGCCGTTTAATCAATGTAATACCCTACGTCCTATGTCTTCGGTGGATTGTATTGAATATGAGATGCCTTCGATGGGGTCCCTATCCGCCTTATATAGTCTGGAGGGTAGGGTTACAGGTCGATTTAGATCTAGATCTATTCGGCTATATGGTTAGTATTTACAAGGAATACGATATCTATCATATCCAAACATATATTCCTTCATCGCCAAGATGTGTTCTGATTGCTTTGCATTGCACGCCAACCAGAGCCGAGCACCGTAGGCCTTGATCTTATGGGTTGGTCCTCCCCTGGTGGTGCGGCCCATGTCCATTGCCGTGGGTACCTGGGGTTATACCCCCACAGCCATCCCCGCGCGCGCCCCGTCCTACACCGCGCAGTGCCATCCCTCCCTACTCGGCCTCGCGTCACGGATCAATGGCCGCGCCCCAATCCACGCTCGCCTATCACGACTACCGCGTGCACCGCACCACCACCACCCCGGCGTCACCGGGAGAAGGTCGTCGCCGGCGCGATACCGTCTCCCGCGGTCGGCCGAAGACACCACGGCAGGAGGACCCGCATGTTGCAAATGCATGTTTCAAGTGTTTCTGATGTTTCAGAGGTATGTTGTAAGTGTTTTAGAGATATGATCCAAGTGTTTCAAAGATATTTTCCAAGCGTCTATTCAAAATGTTTTATCTGTTTCAGATGTATGTTACAAGTATTTTATTTAGATGTTGCATAAATTGCAGTGGCTATACACATATGTTGCAAGCAAATGTTGCAATGTTTCACCTGTTTCATACATATGTTACAGAAGTGCTTCATTGTGCAACATTAACGGGCGCCGCAAGCGGGCACATCCGAATGGGGGCTTACCGTTCGGACGCTAGTTATGTCGTACCAGATTTATCGACTCGGTCTTTTAGATGTGTTTAAAAGAGTAGTATATGTGTGCGCTTTCATAAGTGTTAGTATACGTGTGCATATGCTTTTATGCTGTGTTTTGCTCAAATAAAATTCATAAGAAAGTAATCACCGAAGGGGCCTCGTTGTAGAATAAGTTTAGCTTGTTACGATTGTCCAAGTAAATTGCGTCAAAACATGAGTCAAACAATTTACTAGTATACGAGCATTGGCCGTAGGAAATGCAAGTTTTGATTCGAAATCTGGGGCTGTCTGGTTGCTCTGTATGCTCTGTATTCTCCAAACAATTTACATAGCATGATGTAATATTTTGCTCGTTGCTCTGTATTCTCTCATGTCTGCAGAGTCCCATTTTCGTTGCCGTTGACATCCATGGTTCGACTACTCCAGCATTGATGGTTCGATTTGCTTTTCCCCCAGTTCGTTTTTTTTTTTTATTTGCAACACTCGAGCTGGCCTAAGGGGCTGTCTGGTTGTGTACTTAGCCTGGACAGCGATCGCAGTCCTGGCCGTCCAAAATTGGACGCTGGGGAACACTGTCTGGACATTGCCTGGCGACGGAACCGAAAGAGGCCAATGTCCACGAGACGAAGCGTGCAATGTTCCATCCACATGTGTTTGCAACTGCAACGGGGCCGGCCGGCACGCTGCTTGGCTTGCTAGATTCACGCGAGTAGTACCACGAAACCCCGATCAATTTCGTATCCACCCAAAAATCAACGGATCCCGTCCGCCCCGGCCGCCGAATGGTAAGGCAAGGCGCCAGCCAAGGCCACCTCGCGCACGACGCACGCCTCGTCCGGCCAGCCACGCACGCACGTCGAACGCGAGCGATTTCGCGCCGAAAATCTCGTAGACGGGGAGGACGTCGACGGCCGGCCGGCCCGCTCCGTCCGTCCACCCAGCGACGATGGCCACGCCTTCGTCACCCCGGATGCTTCTGCGAGGCCGCCGCCGCGGTTCGGAGCAGCCGAGCCCGAACGCCCAGCGCAGCAGTCAAAACAGACCGGGGCGACCCGCGACCGGGGCGTTGTCTCGTTCCGCGCCCCCAACCACTAGTTGACAAAGTCCGCCACGCATCCCCGGATCCTCTGCGCAGGGGGTAGTGCATTCCGTGTCCCACCCGCCGCATGCTGCGCCGCAGAGGATCCCACCACTGCCACGACGCGCAGCCGCCGTGGCCTCACCACGCTCACCTTCAAATACGGAGTGGCAGTTCCTTCCAGCTCGCCGCTCGCTCCTCTCTCTCAGTCTCTTCTCGTGTCCAGCCGTCGTCGTCTCCTCTCCGCTCTCTCTCATCAGCGGCGGCGTCAGCCAGCCAAGATCGAAACAAGGCACCGGCACCGCGACAAGCTCGCTCGTTTCTTGAAGCCAGCTGCCGGGTGCCAGCCATGATCCCCACGACGTCCTCGGGCTCTTCGTCGTCTTCGGCGGCGGCGCCCACGCCACCGGTGTGGCCCAGCCCCAGCGCCATCGGCAGCAGCGACGGGATGTTCCCGGGCTCGGGCGGCGGCTCGGGGCAGCAGCAGCTGGCCATCAGCAACGGGGTGCTCCTCGCCGCGGTCATCTTCCTCTTCATGGTCGTCGTCTTCGTCTTCCTGCTCTACCTCTACGCCAAGCGCTACCTGGGGCGAACCCGCTCCTGGCGCCGACCTCGCCGTCGTCGCGGTTCCTCTTCGTCGCGTCGTCCCCGCTCCCGCAGCGCGGCCTGCCCGCCTCCGTCCTGCGCTCCCTCCCCGTCACCGTCTACGGCGCCGGTGCCGGCTCCCCCAAGGACAAGGAGAAGGACGCGCTGGAATGCGCGGTGTGCCTGTCCGAGGTGGCCGACGGCGAGAAAGTGCGGACGCTGCTCAATTGCGGGCACGGGTTCCACGTGGAGTGCATCGACATGTGGTTCCACTCCCACGACACCTGCCCGCTCTGCCGCGCCCCCGTCGGCGCCGCCGGCGACCTCGACGCGCTGCCGCGGGAGGAGCCCTCGGGCGCGTCGCTGGAGTTCCCCGTGTTCCCCACCAACGTCCTCTTCTGGGGCACCCACGACGAGGTCACCAACGCCGGGCTCGCCACGCCCCCACCCCCGCCGCCGCCCGTCGCCAGCGCCAGCGCCGCCGCCGCGCGCTCCTCGGCCTCCACCGGGCTCAGGAAGGAGAACCAGCTGGTCATCGACATCCCGACGCGGCCCGTGGCCCTGAACACGCCGCCCATGAACTCCCCGCTGCCGGCGAGCCGCATGCCCGGAACCGCCGACGACATGCGGTCCCCGGTCTCCGCCAGGCTGCGGTCGCTGCGCCGGCTGCTGAGCAGAGGCAAGCAGGCCGTGGTCGGCACATCCTCCTACAGCCCGAGCCCGCGCGGCGGCGCCGGTGACATCGAGCAGGGGCTCGCCGGAGCCGAGGCCGCCCGCCCGCCCAAGACGCCGAAGACGCCTCCGTCGTCGGCGAACTGATCCAGATACCCCCTCCCGAGCTCCGGGACGCATTTGGCTCGACTCGCCGATCGCCGGAGCGCGCACATGCGTTCATTCTTTCTTTCTTTTTTTCTTTCCCCGTTTTTCTCTTCTCTTCTTGCGCCTGTTTAGATGCCATCTAAATTCCATAAGTTTTTTCACTCTCTCTCCATCACATTAATTTTTAGCCGCTTACATGGTGAAGTATTAAATATAGGTAAAAAAAATAATTAATTACATAGTTTAGTTGGAAATTACGAGATGAATCTTTTAAGGCTAGTTGGTACACGATCGAATAATATTTACCAAATAAAATAAAAGTGGTACTATTTATCGGGTTTTACTATTTTTTAAAGTGAACGAGGCCTTGATTCGAAAAAAAGGAGGAATATTTCGGTCAAAAATTCCTGTGTAAACAGAGGGAAAAGACTGCTGATGTTGATTGGTTGTTGTTGGGGGATAAATGGTGAATTTGTTCATACGTTAGGGCGTGTTTAGTTTTTTTAATTTTGAATAATTTTTGAACAATTTGATTTATTTCAGAAGCATTTTCGTTTGTATTTGGTAAAAATGTTCAGAAATAATTTATTTAGGCTTGAAAAAAGATTATATCTCACGATTTCTCGAGGAGGAGGTGTAATTATTTTTTTTTTTCGCTTCTACATAAAGTATTCTATGAACACGTTTGTATGTCCATCGGTGAAGATTCGATGTGATGAGAAATCTTAAAAAATTTTGGGTTTTGGATTGCATCTAAACGGGGCCTTCATCAAGAGACTTTTCTTGAATTTTTTACTTTGTTGTTGGCTTGTCTCGTGAGGAATGAGGATGTTTCCTTGCTTGCTACGAGGAGGTGCATGTGTTCCACTTGAACACTTCTTCCTCTTGTTTCAGAAACTGGCAGTAGTACATTGCAAGGTGCGAGTAAACTCGTTGCTGCCACACACAAACTACCGTCCAAACAGGAAGTCAGGATTGTGATACTAGAAATGATCTGACTGTACGGCAGGGAACCCAAAAGGTGATTGTCGACGGAAAGCCGGAAAGGTAGAAGAAGGAATGTAAATGTGCCTATCAAAGGCTCTGTTTAGTTTCCAAAAAATTTCACCCTAAAATATTACATCGAATCTTACGGTATATGTATGGAGCATTAAATGTAGACGAAAAAAACCTAATTGTACAGTTTGGTTGGAAATCGCGAGACGAATCTTTTAAGCCTAATTAGTCCATTAAAAACCCTAAAAGCCTTAAGTACTACAGTAACCCACGTGTGCTAATGCCCAATTAATTAGTATCATTAGATTCGTCTCGCAGTTTCCTGATGGGTTCTGTAATTTATTTTTTTATTAGTATCCAAAAACCTCTCCCAACATTCTTCCAACATATCCGATGTAACACCTAAAAATTTTCACTCACCAACTAAACACCCTCAAAAAAGTGGGAAATCAACTGTAGGTTGACCGTAGTAGGGGACAAGGTCTACGCGTTTCAGGCAAAGAGTTGGTTCCAGCTGACGAAAACCTTGTCCCTGCAGGGCCCAGCGCTCCTAGTATGTCCTGTTGCCGTCTGAGATCGTCACTTCCCTTCACCCAAGTATCAGAGAGCTAGCTCCCGTTGCTTGAAGCATCGCCTTATCAAAAACCCCAGCAGGCCTGATGAGGCCAGAAGTTCGTTTCCGTGAAGCCATTCTCCTCCTTGTCCGATCCGGTGCAGTCCCGTTACATGCATCTCCGGTAGGTCGTCGGTTGCCGATCAAACACGGCGCCGCGTCCGCCGGCGCGTCGAGCCTGACACCAGCGGCGGCTCGCGGGCACGCGGAATGCTACAGGCTTTGACCCCGCCCTTCCCCGTCTCCATAAATTAAGCTGCAATTGACTTGAAACCGCATGCGTTTCGTAGCAGCAGCCAGCAGTCGCCGGTCAGTCAACCACGTGTGAGAGGCGCCGGGAGTGTATATACTACGCAGGCACCAGGCACGCAGTGCGGCCGTGCGAATGCGCGGTGAAGTAACGGTGGCAGACTGTTCGCTCGGTCGTTATTAACTATGACTTATTAGTTAACGAATAGTATTTTTCTCTCACATTAAAATAGCCAATAGTATTTTTAATCATGACTTATAAGCCAAATCAAGCTCAAACGAGGACTTGCCGTTGCGTTGCCGTTGCCGTTGCCGAGCGCGCGGCGGGCTAGTGCGAAGTTTCTTGGGCGCAAGTCAGTCGCGGTCTGCGTCGCAGGAACCGGTCGTCGGAGCCTGCCGGAAGCCGGATGGCAGCAGGGGAAGCACAGGCACAGCAGACGGTGTTAGGTCAGGCGTCACTCTCCTGCCATGTTCCCGTGCTTGCTTATCTGTCTGCGTGCGACGCGCGTAGTCGTACTGAGTAGTGGTAAGCCTGTTCTAATGATGCTAAATTGCTACTGCTACCAGTGTACACGTATTACTACGTGTGTATGGATACGATAGATTCCAGTTCCACTGAATCTAATGATGGCTTTGCAGTAGAAGCCGGTCAAGGTCGAGGCGCCTTTGTTTAACGGCACTTGGACGCAGATCGTGATCGTCCCGGAGTTCTGGTATGATTGGGCGTGATTGTTTTTAGTAGACAGGTATTTGGTTACTCCTCCTAAATTTTACTCGTCGTATCCTCAGATGTTCAATATATGCATGGAGTATTAAATATAGACTAATTACAAAACTAATTGTACAGTTTGTGACTAATTCACGAGACAAATCTTTTAAGCCTAATTAATCCATGATTTGACAATGTGGTGCTACGGTAAACATGTGCTAATGACAGATTAATTAGGCTTAATAAATTCATCTCGTAAAGTACTGACGGATTCTGTAATTTGTTTTTTAATATCCGAATACCCCATACGATACCATCATGTGACACCTCCTAAATTTTAATCACGGATCCAAACACCTCTTAGTAGATGTGTTTTATGAATGCAGGTGCGGAAATCTGAGGGCACGGACGGACAATTGGGAGTTGCCTGCACGAAATCGGGCGCGGGGAAGGAACCGTGTCATGGCCTCACGCAGACATTTAGCTGCCGCTGGCCTTGCGATTGCAGACTTGCGGCCGGTAGCCCTAAACTGCGTGCGTCGTCGTCACCACCACCCGGACCTCACCTACCCGGTGAGTGTAAATTGACGACGAAATTCTCTCTCGCCGAAAGAAACTGTTTGTTTGGTTGTGGCTTGTCGTAAACGATCGTAAATTTTTCATCGTAATAGTATTTTTCTCTCACACAAACCAACCAGCAGTACTTCTTCACAAACCAAAGAACGATATCAACCGACCATCCGAGCAGGCGGTTTTATCGGCGGCGGCGGTGGCGGGTGGGGGGAGCGGTTAGGAGGGCCGTTGACTAAACGTGGGGACGGCGGCGCGTCGACCGTGGTAACGGCTGGTCGCGAACACGTGTTCCCGGCGGCGATTATGAAGCGCACCGCCATGGCGAAAAGGGTACATGCAAGATTGAGGCATCGGGACTCCGGGCGCTCGGTCACGATCGCACGTACTTTCACAAGTAGTAGCCAAAGTGCGGTAGCGGGAGCGTAACTGCGGTGCGGCCACGCCCATAGTAGGTGCGTGGCATGTGGCACGTCGCGCTGGTCGGGTGGCGAGGCCCCGCCCGCGGCTAATTAGTCCATGATTAGCTATAAGCGCTACAGTATTAACATGCGCTAATGATAGATTAATTAGGCTTAATAAATTCGTCTTGTAGTTTTCAGGCGAGCTATGTAATTAGTTTTTTTATTAGTATGCGAAAACCCCTTCCGACATTCCCGAAACATCCAATGTGAGATCCAAAATTTTTCATTTCGCCGACTAAACACAGCCTTAGGCCTTGTTTAGTTTCCAAAAATTTTCACCCTAAAGTGTCACATCGAATCTTGCGGCATATGCATGGAGTACTAAATGTAGACGAAAAAAAACTAATTGCACAGTTCTCGGCAAAATCGCGAGACGAATCTTTTAAGCCTAATTAGTTCATGAAAAGCCTTAAGTGCTACAGTAACCCACATGTGCAAATGACCGCTTAATTAGTATCATTAGATTCGTCTCGCAGTTTTCTGATGGGTTCTGTAATTTGTTTTTTTATTAGTATCCAAAAATCCCTCCCGACATCCTTCCGACACATCCGATGTGACACCTAAAATTTTTTACCTCCCCAACTAAACACCCCCTTAGGCTGTGTTTAGTTCACGAAATTTTGGGAATTTAGCTACTGTAGCACTTTCGTTTTTATCGAGAAATGCTATACATTAGCCGGTTGTTTCATTTGCTCAAAATAGTCGGTTTTGTGGCTGTTCGTTTTGTTTGTGTGTCTTCATTTCCATCGTCCAATCCATCTTAGCGCGCGGCACCCAGCTCCGTCGTCGTCTTGCTTTCGATTGTGGGCGGCGTGGTTTTTGACTTTCTTGGTAGTGGCGCGAATTTTTTCTCGGCCGTTCCCACTTTCCCGATTCCCCCATTTTCGATTCGGCTCCCCCCATAACCGAGTTGAGGCGACTTCATGGCGGCGGTATGTTATCAAGGGTTTCGTCGAGCTAAGTTCCTTTGTTCCCCTTCCCATGTTTCCTTTTGGCGTCACATTTGTTTGTATCTGTCTGTCTCTCGAGGATTTATTTGGTACCGAAGAAATCCCGCCCGCCTGGCGCTCCGTTGTCAGCGCCGGTGGATCTTGTCTCGACGAGGAGGAGGTTTGCGCCGCCGTCGATTGAGAGGGAGTAGTCGTGGCGGCCTCTGTTGATTTGAGAGAGTCCGTTGTCGTGTAAGATCCCTTAGCCACCCGGCTGCTTCCTCCGTCGCTGCTCACCGCGACGGGCGTGGGCGTCCTCGGCGGACCACAGCACTGCTCTCGTCGTCGCCGCTTACCACCGGGACGGGCGCGTGGTGTCCCGGCCTTGGGCTCGAGGAGTAGCGACAACAGAGCCGACGCTCAGCGCCCAAGCACCACTAGGCCTGGTGGCCTGTTCTTTTGTCTGGAAG